CCTCCCCCAGATCAAATATTTGCCCCAGTCATATTCGGGGGTGTTGGATGTTGTTAATTTGAGGCAGGGGAAACATGAAGGCTTTTAAGTGTTTGATGGGGGTTGGGCAGGGTTCAAGGGTCAGGGCCACTAATGACAACGTGTTGAGGAGGGCTTGGGTGTCAGCGTCATAAGAGCGGCTCTGTTGGTGGCTTTCATCGGCATGTTTGTATGTGCTTTTTTTCCCCTTCCCTCATCCAGTTTTCTTTCTCCCTTTCTCTCTCCTCTTTCTTCTTTGGTTTATATGCGTCCTGTTGGGTTATGTCCATCTGAGCTGATCTGGCCCAGCTTTGTCCACTTAGCATTTCCTGTGTGTAAAAAGCTACTTAATGGCACCACGCCACATGGTGACCGCCATCTCCGTCACACTCACCCCTACACATGCACACCCCCTTTCCTCTTAACACAAGCACGATGCAGTGCGCGGCTCTGCGTGGGCCACCTCTGATTTAAAGCATCCCATAATTAGCCATTCCCTGGCCGGTGGTCTCCGCTTCCCCATCCCCTCACGTTACAGCTTCCTGTATTGATTGCTGGGACTGGTGATGACGAGGGCCTGGCTGATGAAAAGGAGGGCTATTTCTATCCAGGATGCTGTATTGATCGCTGCCTCCTTCCTACACGCACACACACACAGTCACACACATGTGGAGCTATAGGAAGGTATTTATTACATATAAGGAAGCACGTAAGCATAATCAAGCCATTTTGGTGTATGTCGGTATCCATTTTGTTGGCTCAGTTTCTTCAGCTTTTAGGATGACAGTTGCTGCTGGTGGAGTTAAAGCTCTGAGAGCTGGTGTGGTCCTCCAGTTGGGCAGGGGGTGGTGCTGGGATGGTTATACCGCTGACCCCCGGATTTCTGCTGCTGACCTGTGAGGCTCCTGATCAAATGGGGGTTTTGTTCCTGGGCTCCCCCCAGGTCCAGCCACTGATCAGGAGTTGCTCCTCCATTGGAGCTGAACAGAATGCGCTGGAGGCATTTCCATGAACCAACCCCCCCCCCCACCTCCTCCTCTAAACTCCCTCCCTCATCTACCACCCCCCTGCTCCAGGCCACTCCTCCATTTTGTTTTCTCCCTCTCTCTCACTCTCTCTCTCTCTGACGTTTTCTCGTTCCCTCTCCGTAGCCGTGCCCTTTCCTGACCTCTGTGCGTAAACTGAAACGGGTCAGGACACCCGCCAGGTCACTCGAGAGGGGGGGACTCAGGTTACAGGTTCTGATTTGTGAAGGTTTTTTTCTCACACACATTGACACATGCATACACCAGCACAGCACACACATAAATCCACATGCTACGTTTTGTTACGTAATTGTGGAGCGACTGAGCTCTGGCAAGCTCATGCTTCAGACATTAAACTTATCTGAGACATGAAGGCATGAGTGTGATACCACGTTGTATGTAGGAGATGTATGTGTGTGTGTGTGTATTTTCCTGCATTTCTACAGAACAAAAGGGGTTGTGTGGTTTCCTCACTGGTGCATTGTGGGCATTAACGGGTTTGGAGAGGGGGTAGGGTGCTGAGACAAACCACTCAACTTTGACCTGGAGAGACAAGCTGCTTGTGGTCTGAAGACAGGAGAGGAACAGGAAGGACTCGTGCGCCACACAGTCTGCAAACCAGTCGTTGATTATTCATCATTATTCAGAATGCATGTTGTTTTGTGGGGGGATGGGCACAATTTTTTATTTGCTTTCTACTGATTTCTGCTGCAGGAATGCCTTTCAGTCATTTGGATGGTCTAATGATGGTAATCATGAAATCAATTGGCGTTTTAATGTGAAAACAGGGTTCAGGCTGCTTGACGTTTCCTTGGGTTTGTTGTTCATGAAAAATAGAAATCAGGTTTGGTGTGTGCACGTCCTCGCAGTTTTGGTAGATACATTCATAAATGATTGATAGTTAAATCTTGGAATTGGTTATTTTTGCAGCACAGCGACTTGATATCGATCCTTATTGGGCACATAAAGCCAAAAGCTCGGGTTGTGACTCACCTTGTCGTCCCTTCTGTTTTATTCCAGCTCTCACATTTGTTGTTCAAAATCTTTACTTTCACTCATTTCCATTCCCTGATCCTCGTCCCTTCCTCAAAGCCAAATCCAATAGCTGAACGGCCAAAATGGATGAGTCTTCCAAGAGCAATCGACTCGAATCAAACTGACCCTGGCAGTAACCCTCACAAACAGCAAGGAGAAAATCAAAAGGGATATCTGAGAGAGAAAGGAGTGAATTAATTTTTGGCAAATCACTTGTATTGAATATTTCAACAGTAGCAGCTTTCCTTTTTTAGAAATTGTAGAAATGTCAAAGGTGTGTAAATAAGGAAGAAGAAGTTTGCTATTAAGGCACAGTTCTGTGTGTACGTTTTTGTGGGAAATAAACTTCTTTTTAAATGTTTCTAATTTGAAGCACAATTTGCTCCTTGTGATTTATTTGATTGATTCTGTGTTACATCTGTGGAGTGCCTTTTGAATTTTACACAATTTGTTGCTACTCATTTTAAAATGTACTCAAGATAAATGGTTATGTTCTAAAAACTAAATGTTAGAATGAATGAATGCTAATAGACACATTACTTTGAAATTAACGAAAATAAGACCAAACATGTCCATATTTGTGTTTTTCAGTTTTAAATTCTATCAGTGGATATTGTACATTTCATTGCCCTTTTTAGTTCACAGTAGCAACAAGAATAAATTGTAAGAAGCTATCCTTTTCTTTTTAATCAAAAGTAGTCTTTTAAAATTGTTTTTATGTATTAAGTTTGTCTTTCGTACAAAACGTTTTAGGTTGTTAGGTAATAAGAGCTAATGTAGAATATTAACTTACTCATTAAGTTGTCTAAATTGTCAAAGGTATTTTTTTTATTTAATTATTTGAAAATTCCTCCAAAATAACCTTAAACTGATTTATTTAGTACCAGATTGTGAGATTTAATTTTTATATTCTGAAAAGCTTTTTGTGACCATGAAAGTCTTGGTCTATTCCACTTTACGTAGTATGTAGTGAGAGTTGCATTTGATTTAATAAATTACAGTACAATAGTTTTGTAAATTAAGCCGTCTGCATTCTAAATTTCGAAAGCTGTCCTAATGCTGCAAAGACAGTTCTTTTATTTGAATTATAATTAATTATAATTACTCCTTTAATTTGTTTTGTTTAATTTAAATTAAATTTAAAAATTTTCTTAAGAAACAAACTTGTTTTTTAGAAGCATACAACGAAACAAACTATTATATATATATATTTTGTTTTTACACTAATCTCCAATTTATCCCAATCATACACTTTCTACCTTTATGTAATTGTATAGAGGTAGTCAGACAGCATCCATCAGTGCAGTGAGTTCAAACACTGTTCTTATGTTGTAATTAATTCACACTTGTTTTGTCACTTTCCCTGTCCTCTCTGTTTTATACATTCCCACTTACTCTCTCTTATTCGATATCTATGAATAGACCACCTTTAGAGCACCTTTAGCTTCCTGTAACTGCAGTCGTTGACACAAACATTATAGAAAAAATGTTGCTGAGCACATTTTCTCTCCTTCCTCTATAGTTTCACATTTGAGTCCCTCTGCTCATTTGCTCCTTTCTCTTCCTGTCTCCTACACATCTGTCTCTACAGCAGGCGCTGAATTTACAGATAGCCTGTGTGTTATTTTTAGGCCTTGATGTATAGTAGGTAGTAGGTTTGCTCTGCACACTGCATGCTCGTGTGGGTGTGTGTTTACCTATACCGAGATCCGCAGGGCTTGCTGCGTTTCATGAAGGTCGTGGATATAGTGCATATCAGCCGTTTGTTCTGTGCGATCAACAAGACATAAATCATTGTCCAGTGGTTATGTAGTAACCAAATCAATAATGCCGATCATGTAGATAAGATGGATTGTGGCTGTGCTGAGAGAAAATGATTGCATGGGTGCGACATGCTCGTCTTTTTCCCCTGCAGAAGGAATAGGAAATGGTGCCTCTGCGAAAAGTAGATAAAGAGAGTAAAGCAAGGACGCTGTGTGTGAGATAAGTCCCTCTGTGCACAGACTGTCATGGCAGTTGGTGCAAACCACATACAGCCGATCCGCCATGTTGAGGTGATGTCTTTCTGTGTACACTGTGTGCTACTGGATGTTGTGTTTGCCGCATGGAGCAGTGTGTACAAGCACCCACAGTAAACTTCTGACTGTTAATAAGTGTCGATTCTTCTGTGACAAATATTTGGAGTAGATAGGGGAGTTGTTTCTTCTTGCTCTCGGGCAACTGTTCAATATTTAAGCGTTTAATTAGCTCTGACAAGCTGTGGACTTCCATAACATCAATGCTGAGCTTTATTCTGGTGGACAATAAGCCAGAACTAAGGCATTAAAATTAGTGTTTTGATTGAAAAATTACCTTTTCTGCTTGAGACAGAGGCCCTCTGTACATTTAATTTGCCTATTCAAGATAAGGCATACGGTCTTTGTCAATTTGCTTCATACAAGGTTACAAAACATCCAGTAGAACCAGTCACGGTAAAATACATTTGTAGACCACTGAGGAGAAAAAGCCTTTGACATATTGAAGATATTTGAATTGTCCTTAATGTGCTCCCAAATGATTCAGTATTATTCACAGACATGTGGATGTCTACAATAATTTAAATGAAGTCAGATATCCTTTGTCCTACTGCGGTGTTACATTGAATTGTGCTCTTACATATAAGTACCCCATTAAAATTATTACATCAGATTATATCTTCTCATCAATTAACCCCACAGAAACAGCTGTAACTTTATGCATCAATACTGAAATTAGAACAGTTTCAAGTAACATGAGCACTAACGTCTATCATACTGCCTACAACAAACTGGGAATAAATACAGACCCTTGTGTATTGCAGGCATTATATTTTTTCTCAGTGACTTCATTGAGCTATAAGTGCCTGCCATTTTTAAATGGATAATTGCTTTTTTCTCCCAACAGAGCAAACTGGTGATGGAGGGCTTCCGCAGCTTAAAGGAGGGTGAGCAGGTGGAGTTCACTTATAAGAAGTCCTCTAAGGGCCTGGAGTCCCTGCGGGTGACCGGACCTGGTGGGGGACCCTGTGCAGGCAGCGAGAGGAGACCCAAAGGGAAGGTCCCACTCCAGAAACGCAAACCAAAGGGAGACCGGTGAGTATGAAAAACGTGAGAAATGTGAAAATGAGAAAAGGAATGGTTTTTCTGTGTCTGCAGGGATATAATGATTCATATGCATGCATGCACAGCTCATCAGTCTCGGCTTCGTCTAACAAAACCTAAATGTATGTTGAGTGTTGGCAGCTTGCATTCAGAAAGCGGTGCTGCCTATAGTAGAAGGAGACATATGTTATATGTACATCTCACAGCAGTGAGCTATTTCTGAGTGGGCTGAGATTATAGATTAAATCTATTCAATCTGCCCGACTACATGCCTGTTGCTATGGTTATTGTGCACCATAATAAGGAATTGAATAGACCCCTTTGCCTGCCATTGCCGCTATTTTAAATCAATTTGCCAGCTTTTACATTACATACAGCATTAGCACAGGGATGGATTGGGCTTATATGCATCTCAATGCGGCAGTAGCTCAATCAATTGTTTAGTCCTCAGTAAAATCCTGAAGGGTGCTTTGCTAAAATCTGTCAGAGGAAACCATATGGAGCTCCTTGAAAACGCCTGGTGGTTTAAGCGGAGGGAGGCTGCGTTCGCCGTCCTCCTTCTGACAGAGAATGATGTATAGCAAACCCCTACCAGGCAGCGTCGAGTATATGCGTTGTATGAAGGCATCACATGATTACGTGGCTACATTTACATTAGAAAGTCCAGCTCTGCAAATCTTTATGGTGCTTGCCGCTGCCTAACCATGGCTGCTTCAGTGGAACAACCCTGTGCCGTTCAGTGTTTAAGGTGTGAAAAGAAAAGCTTTTGTGATAAAGGAGGAAACTGTATCTGGGAGAGAAGGCTCCCTGATTGTTTTACACAACTAAATAATTCAGTTTATTTGGGATAATTGATCCAGTGTTAGGTCAAGTGTCTCTACCTTCTACTAAGGTGGTACCAAGGCAGTATTGGATTCAGACATGGCAGGTAGATGTCTGTGATGTCATTCGTCTTTGTGAGCACGCTTCTATGGCAATTATGCTGCTCTGACCCCTGCTGGTCACTCTGTTATGCAAGAATTATGTTGGAATTTTCAGCTTTTGTGGAAATAACAACTGGTAACATTAATTATGAAAGCAGAAGATTGTTGGAGTACTTCCTCCATCAGGAATAAGCATTCTCTCTTCGACTGGTCCCTGACAAACCATGTGTTATTGCCTAAATGCTTTCAGCTATCTGGTCTTCATTAGGGTGGCATTAGAGGTGGTTTCCAGTTTCTGTCTATACAACATAGTTTATCAATTAGTCATACACCTCATAAATCACCATAAATACAACCTTTTCCGAATAGTTTTTACTGAATACAATATTTAATATTAACTCAATGTTAATTTAATGTTGTAATTAATTTAAAAAAAAAAGCTTGGGCCATGACAACTAAAGAGCAGCGCCTCGGTGATGTACCAATCTTGTTGCTAAGAAAGATTTAACTGCATTTCACTGCATGGCACTGCATTGTTGTCTGTAAATATTGAAATGTATATAGTTTAAAGCATTACGATCAATTTAGATGATATTAAACGGTTTGTCTTATAATTATTAATATTATTATTTAATTGAACAAACATGTTGAAATATAACCTTAATTCGACTACAAATTAATACATAATTGTTGATACCATTGGATTTGATGTATTGTTGACTGTTCCTTTAAATTGTGCTATTGAAGCATTTTTTGAATGAATAAATTAATCTAATTAAGTATGAATCCAAGTTGTAAGGACGCTTTAATAGTATCTTAAAACCTGCATCTAGCTTTTATTTGTTATATATATATATATTTCAAACAAATGTTGAATGCTATCTGGAAATCCTTCAGTCTGTGTTAAAAACCAATGAAGACTGAAACAGACTTATTTAATGTTTTTTTTTTAAACCCTTTTTAAAAAAAGTGTTTTCTTAAGTGGTAGTGATTTGTTAACATGCTGGTTTACTGTCCGTGCTCGTTTGGTGGTTAAATGTGAAATTGGATGCATTTTAAAAACTTGATAGTAAACCACTGTTTTATGATCATGTGCTGCCTTTAGCTTCTGGGTAAAGACTTTGTTCAACCACATCCTTCAGTAGAAATCACCATGAGACACAGTGATGTGTTACACTGGAATGTGGACATTTTCAAAACAGTGGATGTGTCACCTTTTTTAGACTTTGTGGAGACGTGTAAAGGATTGCATAGCAGACTGGCAATAAAAGTGAAAACCAATGAACCCTGAAAAGTGATGTATATTGGACAGCCTAAAGCATCAAAAAATATCAGTTAGATTTGATGTAGTGCCAAAACAGTTGGTGGCATCCTGACAGGCTGAATTCTTGGCCACTTTTGCATTTGCTTTTTCTTTCTTTCTTTTTTTTACTCTTTCAGCACCCAATTGCTTCTTGTCAAATTGAATTACACTGTGTAGTTTGGCATGCTACAGTGCTACATTTGATCCAGAGCAATATCTTGTCTCATACTGCCATCTAGTGGTGAGTTCTAGTTAGAGTGGGTGTTTTAACTCTGCTGTTGTTTCATGAGGAATCAGGAGGAGTGAATTTTTATTTTTTAAGGTATTTCATGTATGGATTTTGCTAAAAAAATATATAGTTTTCAGCTACAAACTGTACACTGTGTTTGTTTGTTTTTTGTCTCCAATATGTTTGCTATAATCTCATGTATTCTTTCTCTCCTCCTTGTCTTCCATCCTTCTCATCCTCTGCAGCTGTTATAACTGTGGAGGTCTGGATCACCATGCCAAGGAGTGTGGCCTGCCCCCCCAGCCAAAGAAATGCCACTACTGCCAGAGCATCACGCACATGGTGGCTCAGTGTCCCCACAAGGCGCTGGCGCCCGCCACAGGCTCTCAGGACCAACATGCGTCTACCTCGGCCTTCAGCCCAGGGACCGGGCCCTACCTCTGCCCCCCAGAGGAGGAGGAGCGCTCCGGCTCGTCTCCCCTGGAGGGCTCCTCCTCCTCCCCCGAGGAGCCCCACACACGCGGCCCCCGGACCCAGAGGTGGAGGAAATCCTGAAAAAAAGCCCATAGAGGTGAACCTTTCACCGCTAACCCTCATGTCTCTCCTCAATCAAGGATACCTGAAGCCCCCCCTCATCTACCTCACACCTGTGAAAAAATGGGAGGTCTTGATTTCTTTACTTTTTATTTTATTTGTTTTTTATTTTTCTAACCAGCGCAGCTATGGCAACGATCACCGGGGTACGGACGTGTGTGAATATGTGTGACTGACTTGCAGTCATCTGGTGCAGCTATGGCAACCACCGCTGGAATGGTGACTGCAGGGAATGACTGTTTTTCTTGTTTCAATCAGTGCAGCTCAAGAGTGAAACAACATGGTATGAATCGTTTTCTTTTTTTCCTCTTGGACCTACGTGTTGGCCATTTTGAATGCTTTTTTTCCCCTTACAGTTGTTTTTTATCCTGTAGGCCTAATCATTCCAAAAATCACGATGCATCCTTTTAGCACACACGGTAGCTCATTTTAAGGATTAGAATAAGACTTTCTAAAGCTTGAGGCCCTCTTAAGCGATAATCCAGACCCATAGGATTGTTAGCTTGGCTTATGAAGATCTTTAGGGAAACTTTATGGATTCCAGAGGGAGGTTTTTTTTTTTTTTTTTAAAGATGGTGGGCTGCTAAACACATTCTCTATAATCCTAAAACACTCGCTACATACCTCTCTCTTACATGAAACAGACTGGACCAACTGATTGTCAAAGAGTGTGTGTTTGTGCATGCACATGCAAGACTGAGAGAGAGAGAAAGAATGAGAAAGTGTGTGTCTGTATGCGTGTGTTGTGCATGCTCCAAAAGGAAGAAAAAAACTGTCAGACTAGCGTGCCTCTTCTCCAGGTGCGAGTCAACACTAACTTAACTTTCGGTTTCCTATTATTATTATCGATAGACACACCTTAGATAAAACAGCATATAATCCAGCTAGATCATAGTTTTAGATTCAAGGTAATGAATTGATCGTTAGACTTCCATTTTGGTTGTTGCGTAATTAGTTGAAAATAACATTACAGTTTATAAATCATAGTATAAGTCATTAATATATATGTAAAGTCACAAGATATAATTGAAATTCTATTAACTTTAAGTAATGCATATATAAGGAATTAGCTCTGACATAGGTGAATAGCCCTGTATATTGCATGGGATACTTTGTTGTTGTGTGAAAACTTGTAGCTCTCTCTCTATTTAACCGTTTTCATCCAAATCAAACTGACCTTTTTTCCCCCAAAATTCTTAACTCCACGCCTTCTTCTTTATTAGTTCAAATAGTCAGCAGTCACTTCTGACCCAGCACAACGACTCACCTTGTATGATTATAGGTGTAGTGTCAGACCATTACAGTATCATCACAGCTGCTCTACATACTTAATACCTCACCAATTCTTCCTCTCAGAAATGAATGTCACAGAACGTCAGGCTGTTTGCTCTCCCAGCTGTGTTACAGTAAGATCGAACCACCCGTTTCCTCTTCCATCTGTGCCTACCAGTTGTTAGTTAGCACCAGCCAGGTAACGCTCACTCCTCTTTGGAATGAGATGCCGTCACTGCTGCTGCTGCTTCAGACTCACTGAAAGAGAGAAAGAGAGAGAGGGAGAGAGAGAGAGAGTGCTGCTTTTGGTGTAACTTGAATCCCAAGCATGGCTTTAGTGGCACTTATTTGTGACCTAACAACTCTTCTCTGACCATATTGAATGTGAAAAGAGCTTATCTGAAGTCGACGCCTCACAAAAGTTCACGTCGGGTCGCTTTGGAGTTGTATCTTAATGTTCTGACAAATCAAATAACTTTGTATGATATCAAACTAGCTTGTGTGTTTTTAAAAAGCTCTAAAGTAGACAACCAACTGTTTTTGGTATATTCCTATACCAAAGAGTTTGGCTTTATTTTTTGAAGGCATTTAAAGTTAAGACTTGCTGAAGTGCTTGCTATCTTCGCTCTTTCAGAATAAGAGGGACTTATCGCTGAAAGTGCAACACTGCAGTTATTTTTTTTTTTAATGTACAGCTTTTTGAATGTGTGCGTGCGTTAAAAATCAAATCTCAACAATGCAGCATGACAGAATAAAAAAAAAAAAAGTGAATGACCAAACCATGTAAAGAGCACAGCCCATGCTCAAATCTTTATGGAAACAACATCTTTTTGTATGATGTATTTTTACATTTTTACACACAATTCCTCTCAGGATGATGAACTGTTCTCAGGGAATTAACCAAAAAAAAGTGTATTTTATTCTTTTGGGAATCATCCACTGACTGACTCAACAAACTCTGTTAAGCAACGGTGAAGATACATATGTAACTGATTCATGTACTGATATTAGCAACTACCTCTTGAGTTATACATAGTTGTGCATTTCTTTTTGTTTTGTATATTTTTTGATGAGCTTGTATGATTAACTGTAGGTCTCTATTGTACTGAGGTGTGAGAAGTTCCCTAGTGTTGCCACATACTCCCTGGTCTTCCTTCCCAGATTTGATGAGTTACTTTTTTTTCTTTTACTGCAAAACTTTTTTTTTTTCGTTTACAGCAAAAGCCTACCTCATATGCGCTCCACAAACTCCTTACCTCCTCCCAGCCCCCTCTACCTCCTCCATGCAGTCTTTTGTTAATGGAATTGCCACTTGTCGCACTAGAGTCACACGGCATTTTCAACAAATCAGGCCTGAAATGGCTCGTCACTTGTGTCTCCAAATATATCTTACAATCAAAGCTCTTTTTGAAGGTTTTACACAGGTTATCAGAATGGGCGTGATTGTCTCACACATCCAGGGTGAGGTTTTTCTGCCAGCTCTGTGTTATACTGTCAGTATACACTCATCACGTAGCTGCAGACAGCCAGTGAGTTTACCTCAGTTTCTTGGGCTAGCTATAGACATGTTTAATATGAAATATTTTACATTTCCGTGTGAACACATTTTAAAAAGACATCGACTGTTGTTTTTAGTTTGTAAGTATTTTATCATAACCGTTTTTTGTAACCACTTGATATGATGGGCTTAAGATGGAGAAGAATAGGATTGTACTTCGCACAAGGAGTGCCTATTGCTATGTTTTGTTTGTCTGACTCTATTACCAAATAGATATGTTCCTCTTTTTGGGCTCCATGGTAATGGCCTTTGTCAACCATTTTTACAGCCTCAGATAATCAGAAGTTGTGTGGTTTGGAGATGACGCCCCTTCTTGTTGCAAACTACATTTGTAATTTAGAACGGCATTGTTAACAGTTAACATGAATCAGTAGATTTTGTACTAATGGTGACATTGCATAGATGTCATTATTACAAAAAAAATGTTTATGAAGATGAATATTGTTATCAGTACTCTTTTAAAACTAACTCATGATATCAAAGATTGATTTTGCATACGACCGTATTATTAAAATTGACACAATATTATAATAATATCACAATGTTGCAGTGGGCCCACATATGGAACTGAACGCTTGTTGATGCCAGTTATGAACAAAATACACAACCGTGGTAAAATATAGTGATATTATTGATGGTAGTAGCTTTATATTTTCTTCCAATCAATGTAACTACTAATTGATCTCTTGTTTATTATCCTGTTCAGTATTCGACACGGCCAAGAAAGAATAATCTCCTTAAGGTAGTGATAATCAATTGGTTATCGTAGAGGTTTGTCAAGGCTGCATATAGGACAACAAATTGGTAGAACCATGTTTTTTTTCCCCAGGCGGTGTCATTATGGTCCTATCTTATCAAATGTCCACTGCTTTTACAATCACATGTTTCTGATCTCATTTCTGTTCTTCTGAGACAGTTTCTCAATTATGAAATAAAGATCTCATAATACAAGGTAGATGTCTTAATTATGGAATAATAATTACATGGAACATCATAAATGTGAAATTATTGTTACACATGACCATGATATGGTTTAATTGTGTTATTAATATTTTTCCACTTATTTTTTTTCTCATGCAAACATGAGACAGCACAAGCAAATGGTCTCCTCCATGCAATCATCAAAACTGCTGAAGAGGGTTTAACTCGGGGCCGGACATTTGTGAACCTGAATGTGCCAGTTGTATCTCAACAGAAGGCTCAGATGTAATTTTGCTGCCACCAAACACACCATTGGCTTCTAAATTTGAAATTTACACTAGTTTGCAGTGTTCATAGGCATTGTAGAGAAGATATCACTGATATGACACCACAATAACAAAGATATTTATTATAGAAACTGGCATAAATCACATGAACTTTTTTTTTAAACTCTCAGTTTTAGTCTTTCATTTCCTTTAAATTCATTTGTGTAAAGCTGTGGGAGTTGAAAGGATAATTCAGGCTTTGTGGTCTATGTTTCTTTTGTCCCCCAAGTCACGACGTCACATCCGGGTTAGCCTCTTACGCAATCATCGACAGTATATATAACTTTAGTACTCAATGCAGTCTTTTATTCAGCGTTTATGTCCGTCGTCGTGAAAACATGAGACGTGTTTCTGTTTACTCTCCATACTCTTAATACAAATCGTCCTCCCCCCCATAGCAACTGCCATTAGAAACCTTCAACCTGAAAGAGTCTTAGAAAAACTACAACTCCCATAGAGAGGAGAGAGAAAAAGCGCGGGTACTTACGTCATAACATCTTGATTTCCATATTTGTCCATATCCATAAAACTAAAAGTACTTTATTTTTTTTTTCAACTTTAATTATAATCTCCGCTGTGTAAAAGCGTATCCGGTCTCCTCCGCCTTGTTGTCATGTTCGTTAAAGGCCGCTAAAAAAAATAAAAAAAAGGTAAATTTAGACTGATTAAACAAGATCTACCGTCCGTATCCGAACAGAAGAAGCGAGTTACACGACATACTGTTAAAAGTAGAATTTGAACTTTTGTTTTTTGCTATTAGCGTTGTTAAAAACGTTAATGTGGGTTTAAATCAGGTCCTCTGAACTTAAACTGTCTAACGTCGTTTAGCTCTGTGGAAACTCTTAACACAAGCATATTGAAATATTGGGCTATTTCAGTCGCTGTCCACTGAGAACCACGTATTTGCAAATGTTACCAGCTTTGATTTAAATACTTGCTGTCTGGTGGAGAGGTAGCATAGATGAGAAGATTGGTACTAGTCCAAAGTGTTTAGTGAGTTTAGCACAGAGACTCTGGGGGCAAAGGGGGGAAACAGCTACCTTGGGGCTGTCCAAAAGGTTAAACAAAAACTCCTACCACCTTTTTTTGAGGTTGTAAAAAAAAACAATAGTCAACATGTTAATTAGTGAACAGAACATGTAATTTAGTGGAACTGATTTTAATTAGTGAACTGTAGAGGTGCCAGTAGGTTACCAGAGCCAGGCTACCTAACTCCCACTGCTCCCAGTCTTTGTGCCAAGCTAAGCACATGTCAGTACATTTCCCAAAGTGACACACTTTTGCTTTAAGTCGAGTGGCACTGCATTTTGACTGAAAGCTGAATTCAAGCCTTTTTCTTTTTTAAAACCTCAAAGGAGCATTTAAACATTCAGTTTATTAAGTTTTCAGGTTTTCATTGGACAGCAACTTAATCCTAATTACATTAAAATAGGCCAACTAATATAGGCTTATTGAAGGAAACGCTGTCCACACTTTCCAGATGCTTAAGAGAAAATCACATTTAGGCCTATATAACTGAGACAAAAACCCTGAATTATCCTCCAACAATGTATCAAAAGCCTCTGAAGACAGACAGGATGTACTATGCCATGATCACAGACCGGGAAGCCTCAGCAGTCTGTCTCACTGCTCCCTCATGTGGTTGTTTTAGGAGATACCTGCAGAGTTCACATACAGTACCTCAACTGCTGCATTTGTCAGCTGCTCTGTGCTTTGCCTTGACTGGAGAAACAATGTATTCTAGGAGATGATCATTTATGATGTTTTTTTTTTTTTTGTTTTTTAAACTGAACTGTATCATGTCAGATTCATATTGTGGTTATGTACACAAAATCATACTGAAACATTGGACCTCGAAAAGGACCTATAAATCCAACCAAGGCAGTTGAAAGTGCAGATACCTCCTTGTATTGACTAATAACCTCACACTTCTCATGTTTGTTTATGTTTTTTACTCTGTACACCGTGGCCAGAGGGAGTCTTCTGTGCTCTCTTTCTCTGGAGTATGTGTAGAGCCAAGCACTGATTGCTTTTGAATGGGGGAAAAAAATGTTCTTCTATGTGCATATCACTCATTATTTTAGCCCCAATATAAGTGTACTGCCTTTTTTTATTTCTGTGAATCTTGGATTGGATTTTTAAATATGTCTGAAATGTTTTACTTGATTGGAAAATAAACATATTATATTGGCATTAAAGTATGTATAATTTCCTACTAGAGATTGAAGTGGGTTAATGCTTGTTTCGATATTAATTTCTATTTCTGTCTTTGTTTTCTGTTACCAAAAGTATGTTTCACACAGAAAGGGGAATTCCACCGATTTTACACATCAAGATCAGTTTACTAATTATGAGAAGAAGTAGTGCTCGTACTGTGAAAATTGTTATTCTGTAGCTCTGGAGGAGCCTTTTCAAGTCTTAACAAAATCATTTGAGTGATTATCTGATCTCCAGGGCTACAATTTTAGAACAAAAGCTTGGTCTAATGAAAGTTCCTGCTGAGTTGCAGCTGCATTGTGGGACGAATGGGATATGGCATTTTTTAAGCTTGAACCAAACACTAAAAATCAGAACATTTCTTCCTTCATCAATTAAAAAACAATTCCCCAAACTACCCTCATGCTTAATCGATCATAATGGTTCAAATTAATACTAGATCTAATCCTGTGTCACCATAAAGAAATACTGCCAGCAAGGCCAGAAAAAATGTAACTCCAGCTTGATATTTTAGTAAGTAACCTACAGAGGTTTAATGTGATTGGCTAAAACAATGCTTCATTTCTATTAAGGTTCTTATTAGCCTCAAATGTGGTGGATTTCTTTATGGGGTCTACATAAAAAAACTACCACATTAAATGAAAAATCATTACCGTCAGTTTGAATAACTAATAAACCATCACCTTTTATAACATAAAACATTTACTGCATGGCTCCAGCTTCTCCAATGTGAGGATCTGTGACTTTTCTCTGTTTTATATAATTAAAAACTGAATATTTGGGCAGTTTAGACTTGGACACTCAATAAGCTATACATGTTTGTTTTAGCATTTAGCATTTATTTCTAAAATTGTAAATTTAAGTAAGTTGATAAGCTCACTGAACATTTGGAGAGAAAGGGAGCGAGAATAAATGCAACAAAGATTGTTGGCTGCATTTGAACCAAGGATGCTGTAGTTACATGGCCTGCAACTTTGAAGTCGTCTTCTTGAGCTCTAGATAAAATGATCAACAGATCAATTTGTATTGTCATTTTTAAGTTCAACTCAATCAGTTGCTGGCCTCTTTGTATTTTTTTTTAACCTTATTTATGAATCTTAAGTTGTCTGAAAATAGAAAGAGTGAGCTACATCAATCACAGCATCTTACATGTCACTGAAACTCAAAGTAAGTGATGACAAGAGTTCAAAGTGAAAGAAAATGGATGTCTTCATTCTATGTGTTGCCCTCATTCTCCACTAGGGGGAAACCTAGTGCCACTGTTTCATTGCTCCCCCTCAGGCCTGTGAAGGACACAGCCAAAGCAGATTAATCACCTCAATACATCTGACTCACCAAAGACGCTGGTGTTTCTTCACAGCCCTCTCTCTATTCTCCTGCTCCTCTTTAATGTCCTTGCGCCTCGCTTTTTTACAACCAGCTGTCTCTCTTTTGGTCTCTCCTGCTAAACACATCCAGGCTTGAGGTGGTCCATTAAATGAACGCTCTTTGTTTACAGTTTCCCTTTGTTACCCACCATCATTTTCATATACATCTCTCCTTTTATCATTATACAATATCTGGAGATGGCTTTGTCAAGGTCAGCTATTTTTATGGCGTGTGATATTGGAGGTATCGCAGGGAGGCGGCGATAAGAAGAAGGCAGGGGAGAAAGAATAAAGAGAACTAAAGGATAAATACCACTGGGGCCTTTACTGCAAACAGCGCAGTGTGTGTTTTCAGTATGTCAGAGGCAGTAAGCAGGCCGGAGAGAGGAGAGGAGTACATATCTTCACTGTCTCTCTCTCTATCGTCCTATTCCTCATTCCTAAACTGCGTGTTGACCTTTGTAGTACCGCCTCCAGGCTGTATGCTTTAACCTTTCCAGTGAGATAGAGGGGGGGCCCTGAACTGGGAATACAAGATAAATCACAACTGCTGTCTGTTAATGCGACAGACAACAACACACACCGGCATGCAGGCACTGCTGAAACCTTTGTCCTTTCTCACAAAACCCTTCTCGTCCCAAAAAGACACTCCCGCATACACACACACCAACGCAGATGGCCTTGCCTCCATAAAGATGTCATCAGCATCAGTGCACTAGGCTATTATATCTACAAGTACACCCTGAATTATTCATCCTTCATTAAAATGCACTATGAGTAATGATAGCCAGGAGTGTGTTTTTGGGTATTCTTTTGTTTGAGTAAAACACAGAGGTCATTAGAAGTCATTTCTGGTCAATTTTGTATGATCAACCATGCTCCAGAGAAAGACAGGAAAAAAAATCCCATTTACTTTCTGTGCATTGGGAATTCATGTTGAAAGAGATCAAAGGGGACAGACAAAGAGATGAGAGAATCGACATCTTCTCGTCTCCATTTGGCTCCCTATGAGAGGAGGAAAATTACTTTAAAGCTGCTGCCTTGATGAAAGAAAAAGGCGTTATGGCTGATGTATTCCTCCAGAGGTGGAATCAACAGTATGAATGACTCAAAGGAGGAGAGGAGGGAGGTTAAAAGAGAACATTTGTATGAGAGAACAATTTTTTGGTGAGGAACGGGAGTGCTATTTGACAGCAGTGTAGAAAGCAGCCATTCCCCTGTCAGAAGATGTGACTGGTTCAACACTGTTATTTCTGGTGCGTGCATATAAAAAAAAAAAAAAAAACGCAGCAGATGTCATTAGATACTGAGCTCATTTGCAGTATCAGTCTGGGATATTAGACTGAGCCCCAGCAAGATGTCTATCTCAACATGCGATTTGGTTTCATGTTCAGCCGCAACTTGTTTTTCTCAGGACAGGTATAGAATAGGTCATGAAATTGAAATAGCCTCCAAACGTCCCATTAGTTTTTCTCACCTATACTCTAAGAGACGACCAGAACTGTCATGTTTCTGACAGAGCTGTCAAAGCATCGAGCCTGCCATCCTAGTTACACATAAACCAAATAGAAATGAAAACATTGTCAGTGAAAAGACTCATGGGGTAACGGAGACGCCAGGAGCAGGGTGAATCACTTAGCAAGCTGTGCTCCTCCATTCTGCAGCTGCCACCCACCACAACACATCTGCCAGTGGGAGAAAAAAAAAACACTCAGATAGAAAACCACATCCAAACAAATTGCTACATGACACAAAAGATCACTTCTTCAAATTGAAATTCATTTGCAGTCGAAACGGGGGTTGGTCCCCCTGGGCACACGTGTATGACTGTAGAAACCCACATACAGGTGGCAAATGGTGGAGCTACAAAGACACACAAAATCTACACGTTGTTCCAGTAAGACCATTAGATTTCTTCACGTGGGGCCAATGGTTCTTTCAATACGCCCCCCTGTGCTATCTCTAGGCAGACACATGCCACTGCTGGGCAGGATCCTAATGCGTACCAAATCATCACTTTTCAACCAACAACGCCTGCCTGGCTCAGCCAGTTACTGCAATTCCCCTTTATTGCATTTCCCCAGGATTTTATATTATACATGCCGAACTCCACAGAAAGGAGTCAAAGCTCATTTCTAGACCTGATAGGGCTACAGAAGGGGAACCGTCTACCGCATGCTGAATATTGCACCAAAACTGTTACTGGCTTTGTTGATATGAGCCACATGGTAACAAATCATTAAATTATTTACACAGACTGTGCCAGGAATCAGTGATTTGCTTTAGGGAGGGTGAATAAAATGTTGAATATTGACTTTTTGCCTTTTTGCTGGAAAGCAACAAGTGCCTTTGAAGCCGGCACATTCATTTGCTTTTATGTGAAATACAAGGACACTAGCAACAAATGATGTTATTCAGTCTTATATTATCATAACAACTTGTAAATAAATTATTGTACCTATTAAACTTTTTTAGTCAGTTTTCACACAGTTTGCTAAGATGTTTAAAAGTTCAAATGAAATTCTTAGACTAGTGACATTTCCAAGCATTTTTCTGTATGAGTTGCAGTGATCTGCATGTTCATACTTAACTGCAGTGACGTATAAGTAAAGTTATTCTGAATGTAAGGGGTGAGCATAATTCATAAAATCAATTAATCAAGCAAATAAATAGATGACAAATCAAGGTAAGTACAAGTATAAGTATAATAAAATCTAATTTTGCCATAAAGCAGTCCTGCTCATTTGTTTGTATTGCTATATACAGTGGTGTAATACACCAAGTCATATTAAGGGAATAAATACCACAGTATGAACTGTATGGCAAAACCTCTGATGGTAGACACATAACATCTCATGGTATGTGGCGGTTTTATTACCCACCCCTACCTTATTTAATGACTGTACATGTACTGCTACTTGTTTAAAAGAAAAGAGAAAAAAAATCGAAGTTGTTTTACAGTACATGACTCTTAATCTGGGATCCTGAATTATTAAAACCATTGGGAAATGAGCAGAGGAATACATTTCCTCCTTCACAAAACCTTCCTTGGCAGGTACTATTAGCCTATAATATCTGTATGACAAACCAAAGTCACATTCAGAAAGCAATTTTCTGTCCACAACGCAATCCCGGCCATTAATTGCCTAATGAACAAGATGTTATCCAAGGATACCTTTCCAATGACCACTTAGGTAAAGGAGGAAGAGGACTTAATATGATGGAAATAAGTGTGACAGACTAAACGGTCCCTGCTGAATGCACTGACGCATACGCTGACCTTCCCTGTCAATCTGGAGGGCAGACAGGGCGGCCATTTATGTTGTGGCGGCCGAGCGGCTGAGCGGCCGAGCTGCAGAAACAGTTTTCATCATTACTCCCAGAAAACCTTGTCAGAAATCCAGAGCTGTCTAACCGCCCGCCGCCTGTGGGAGGGAAATAACAATAAACAATGAAAAATCTGAGAGTCAGAAGGCGTGGAACATTCTCGGGCCCTTTTTGTCAGGCTGTACAGTCTCCCGTGTGTAATTGTGAATTCTACTAACGGTCATCTGGATTCCTCTGATCTCGGAGGGGTGATTTTAGAAACTCTGTGGTCAGAGAAAGTGATACGCAGTCCGGCACACAGCCGGGTGAACAGACGGACCAGTGAGCTGGTCAGAAAAAATAGCTGCTCAACATGCTTACAATCTTGATTTGATTAACAATTTAGCAATTACCTAATGCATTCCTTTGTATAATGCCAATCACGTCTTTGGGCACTTAATCAATTAGAAGTGCCTGACATTTCAGAATATTGCAAGACATAATGCTCATCATTATGCATCATAGCATCAGTTGATGCACTCTAAAATGAGTTACCAAAACATACCCTTCTTCTGTTCAATTGTTACCCAAAGAATATGAAAGAGTTGTGTGAATAATGTAAGGCAGAAGTACAATTATGACATTTTTAATGACATTATTTGTAAAACCTTGCATCAATGTCAAATTCCATGAGCTCATATTTGTTTTCGACAGGACAGCAAAGCCTTTGGAGTCGCTTCTAATAAATGTTTCCAGGTATTCAATCACTTCAACTCACACCACTAGATTTAGCTGCGTAAAATGACAAGCAACACTGGTAGAACGCCAATGAGTTTCAGGATAATGTCTTCCCTGTCAACTTTCATAATGTGTAAATGTGGTTGTTTTAAATAAGTCATTAACTATATCCACTCATGTACAGCAGAGATATCATCACTAGCGTTGACCCATGTGTTGTGGGTGTTTGTTTTTTGTCTCTGAAATCCCTGGAATAACAGGTCAAATGACTAACTCGGATAGTTTAGCAAAACAAGGGCAGTGAAGAAGAAACCTACCAAGTATGCTTGTCATTTCACAACATGGAACAGAGTCAACAGACAAGAAGTGTCGTGGGGCCAAATGTGATTGTGTCACTTTGTGAAGAGAAAACACATCTGGAGACAATTAGCGGATAAATGATTTGCTCCGTCTGCTTGACGCAACATGAGTGGAGCAACACCTGGCACAGGAGCAAAGGTGAGACATACACACACGTATGTGAGAACGCAAATGTCCCAATCAGTTGGACCAGATATTAAACAGACTTTACCCAGCCAGCTCTCTAGTACAAAGTCCATGTAATGTCCGAAAGTCCAACTCAGGACATTGTCTGGAGATCATACGAGAAAACAGCTATACAGTAAGTGCCTGAAAGCTGCTGATTATTCCCGCGTCAAATGCACTGCAGCTGCACTGTTACATACATCCACAAGTCGCCCAAAAGTAGTCTCTGCACAGTCTCACTTAGTAGTTGTTCTGGAGCTTTCGATCATACCACATGATCTTCCTGAGCAGATAGAATTGCCCAGTTGGAATGGTAGTTGTTACATTTTTCCGGAGCACTTTAAGGAGTTCTCATACATGTCGGCTTAAAAGTTGACAATGACAAGTTGACACTGCAACTGGGCATATTTAATTTGCTGACAAAGATTATGTGATACGATCAAAAGCACCAGAACAGCTACTAAACTGACCTTGTGTTGATATTGTTTTCTTCAAAGCCAATTATACATTTTAACTGCCTGTCTCCAATGCGAAGATCTACATTTTTTGTCTGCTATAGAGTTTTCAAAGGGTCATTTTTGTAAAAACAGAAGTGATCAATGCTATGAAAAGTTTTAGGACTTTTTTTTTGTTTTTGCAGTCTACTAGGGCTAAAATGTAGTCTGGAAACAGAATTGCAGCCTGGCAACTACAGTTATGTTTATCTTTAACGCAAGCAACAAGCAATTTGCATGTTTTACTATGTCTTTCATGGTGACTCATCATAGCTACTGATAGTTAATCACACTTGTTGTCAGTAGCACTTTGTTGACAGAAGCGGAGTCCCAATTTCTAGAATGAGTCAGCACGTTTCCTACTCTAAGAACCAGTTTTTTTTTCATTGTTCTTACCGACCAAAAACCACCACATTGTCCCCAGACAGTATTTACAGCTGGCCCCACGATACTGACAGACAAAAGACTGAATCTCTGATTGATGAGAGAAATGAACCCTACACAGCAGAGTTTGAAGCCCCATAGTTGACAGAGTTTGTGGGCTGAGTTGGTATCTGCTACATATTTTGTCCACAGGAGGGGCTACCATGATACAAAGTACTACAAAACTTCTTGTTCTTGTACAAAAACAAACATTTTTGTAGAAATCCTGCATTTTAAACAACAACTGATACAGAGTGAAAACTGCAACCGCATGTAAGGACAGACATGAATAAGGACTTTGACAGTATACATTGCTTGTAGAGGCTTTGAACATAATAGGCATGGTAGAAAGTTCTTTACAGTGGCAGAACTTTGGCACGAGAAAGGCATTACAGAAGAAAACGATGAGTATTTGACAAGGTCAGCATAGATGATCCCAAACTAAATATCACTTTTATACATCAGTTCATAGTAAACCATTTGGCACTGACTACCGTTCCCTTTGTTGGTGTGAGATTAGTGTTTGTTCAAATCATTTGAAAGAAACTCAAGCCACTGAAGGGAGGGATCGATGGGGTCACACACACATGGAGGTAAGACAAAAGGGCATTGACATCAACAGAAAAACTACATCTGGTGTTACTGTCACAATAGAGTTTTCCCTTCTGCACAGGTGTCAGATAGGAGTGTGTGTGTGTGTGTGTGTGTGTGCCTATATGTTTTATGTGTATGTGTGTGTGTGTGTGTTATGTTTTGTCCCAAACCTGCTTGGATCCTCTTTCAATTTACATACTTTTGAGTCCTTTTTTTCCAGCTCCCTTCAAAAAGTGAACTTCACAGTGAGGTGACACTGCTCAGGTATCTATATTTCCACAGGAAACATCTGTCTACATAAGCAAGTGGGTTCAAAAGAATCCTGTTTTGACTGCTAACCTCAGTCTGTGGTTAAGTCAGCACTAATCTGACCCCCCGTCGCCCCTCCTTGGTTTTATTTGAGGGGTGTGTTTGGGGGTATGCTCAGCGTTCATGCCATGGTTTCCTTTCCTGGGAGTCTCCGGTCGTTGAACGTGTGCATGTTAATGACCTCTTCTGTCTTTACGATGACGGGCGGCTGAGGCTTCTGTTTGAGACGGCGTTGGCACTTCAGAGACACACGCAGCTCGTCCATCATGGCACTGCAGAATGAACGCTGCAGAAGGCAACAGGAAAGAGGGAAAAATTACAGCTGGCACCACGCTCTTTGCCACACTACTCAAAACTGCAACTTTACTGCGTGAAATACAACCATCAGCCAAGATTGGCTTCTTTGAAAATACTGAATATTGGCTAGACATGATGATCATTGCTATTTTAATGTATAGTTTGTTAAGGAATATGGTGTGTTTTAATCTAAATCTTCTTTTTATTCTGAAACACTTCTTTATTCAAAGGTCTGATGTGTCCCAGATTTCCCCCTTTTCAGCTTTACTGTCACACAAAGGTCTAAATGCGTTTTCAGAGCATTTTATACCCTGCCAAGTACTAAGAGAAACATTTGTAATGTTGGCTTGCAAACAGAAAATGTAAAGGTATTGAATAAAGGACCAATATCCACTTCAGCAGATTAAATCCAAAAATATTGGTACCTTCTTTCAAAACATCAATCACCCTCTTGCAGAGTGACACGTGTTATGTAACCTCCATAATATGAGCTTCTGTTGTCCCTGAATTATGTATGTGGCGTGAAATCCTATAAAATGTCAATATGCTTGTGCACCAATGTTGTCAAGAGAAATTCCCATACATTCACTTTCTGATTATGCAAAATCTAATTCAAATTCTTAGACGGTGTAGGAGGAGAGAAGATATAAAAGAGGTGGGAGAGCAGTAAAGTATGAAGCTATTATTTTTTCGTTTGTGTGTGAGTGTAGGCGTGTGAGATGGATATCTGTATGTGGCTTATGCACCAGGTATTTTAGTTTTTTCTTCATATTTACATATATGTGTCTAGTGTATGAATGAGATATTTTGAAAACTCGGGAAGATGAGTGATTACAGAAATAGAGAAGGGCAGGAAAGGGTGAGAGAAAGAAATAGTGGAAAACAATGAGGAACGATGTGGATTAGAGTGATGGAGAAAAGGAGAATGAGGGGGGTAAAAAAAGCTGGTGATGTTAGGGTGACGGGAGTGGCAGGGGAAGAAAATAGAGAAGGAGAGGGTTGTTGTCAGCATGTAAATTACTAGCACCTTGGCAGCCTCGAGACTGTGGCATTTGCAAATTATCTGAATATTGTGACCCAGTCTTGCGGCTCTTGATTAATGATAGCTAAGATGTGCTCTGAAACATATGCAGACTGTAAAAAAAAAGCCAGAAACTAATTACTATTGCAATAAAGTAACACGCTGCTGCGCTGTGCTAATTCTGTAGATGTAAATAATTAAAACACGCTATCAAATGGACTTTCACAATTATCTGGAAACATCCTTGTACAAGTTAAAGTGCACTAAAATACATACTCCACACTCTGTGATGAATCATGTACACTCAGTTCTAAAATAGAGCACAGATAGAACAGTCTGAAATATATTCAGTCTCTTGCTAGAAAGAAACATAACCAGAGGGCGGAGAAAAAAGCCACAAACATGCTGCAATGTATGCGTCTCGAGATTAAAGGATAAGTTCACGTTTTTTTCAAGTCTGTCTTAAAACAATACTCACTTGTCCAAATGTACATTGAAAGAGTTTTTGGTTGCTGTAATCATTCCTCTCTTCCATACTGGCTGCGAGAGATCCCATCCTGATGTGATTTCAGATTAAGACATGACCAATCACTCACATATATATGAGGACGCAAGTATTGTTTTAAAACAGACTTGAAAAAATGTGAACTCATCCCCGACTAATTTCTAATCCTGCAAAAAATAATGAACACGCTAAAACACACTACACTTATCCAACACAGTATATATGTTGCATTGTATTTGATAGTTAGTTTGGTTTAATTCCTCACATTTAGGGATGAGTGATGAATCAAATACATAGCAAAAGGGTTGAATTCTTTAAAAGCATCACAAAAGACTCCAGTACCTTCTCAAGCTGGGCGTTCTGTTTAGACTTATAAATGACCTCCCCTACAGCGACAAACACTGACAGCACCAGTCCTGCAGCCAGCACGATGAAGATCCCACCGATGTTCTGCACTCCCAGAGCGCTAGCCTCTTTGCTTTCCTCCTCGGGACAGCCATTTCCTCTCCACCACTTCTCCTTCATCATGTGGAGCTTCCCTTCCTCCTGCAGCTGCAGAATGGCTATTGTGATCTTGTCTCTGTACGGAGAGCCTGCAAGAATAAAAACACAACATGAAACTAGTTAAAATGGATAATAGCCAGATATGAAAAAATTATGCCTAGCAAGGTCATTGTTGAATGGGTATATATAAATGATGGTGGGTGTATGAAACACGCTCTGGCTTGCATGTGATCATATAACCTGTCATGTTATTGTTGGCTGCTTAGAGGGAGTTTTTGTAAGTCCTTCTTCAAATCCCACTAATCCCTATATTCACAGAGTGATTCAAAAATTCTCACTCCTCTCTGCAGTGTGTGAATTATAATGCACAGGGAGTTGGCAACAAAGACGTGGCTCTGTGGAGCAGAGCTGCTGTTGATTTTGACGAATTAGCTGCTGTTTGCGCACGCTTTCATATGCCATAAATGGTGCATATAAACAGGAAAAACAAGAGAAGACCAGTAGGGTGTAAATTACATGGGTGCATATGTGTTTGGGATTATATGTGTGTATCTGAGATAGGGTTGCTCTATCAGTGTGTTTTTAAGCATTTTAATGTCATGATGAGTAAAAGAACCCAAATCCACAGACAGTGGGAAGGCGCCAGAATTAGCGAGAAGGCATTAAGGCGCAGCGGGTGCTGGCGTGATCAAAGGAGGAGTAATCGTTGCAGAGTACCCGAGTGGGGTCGTGTTCCTCTCCCATCCACAGCGTGTGTGACACAACACACAGCCGTTTGAGGCACAGCGCACACACTCTGCCCCGACCAGGCCAAGAAAGATTAATACTTACTGTGAGCGTTCATGTTTCATTTATAAACTGCTTTAAAATCTAGTTAGTGCATTTATGTGATTTTAGAACGCATACAAATGTACGCCTGGTTGTGCATTTCCATTTCAGACTCACATGCTTATTCAGAGTGACTTTAAAGAGCTGAAACAGTAGTAAAATGTAAAATTTTTATAATGTCGACAAAAGCATTTTAGAAACACGCGGGAACATTTTGTGCTAAAACTCAGTATGGCCCCAGGTAGTAGGTAGCATCACTGTTGCTCACATACAGTTTTGGCTGTCAGCCCCTTTAGTTGATTCCCTCTCTGTCTCATCTATCATTTATCTATTGCCATCCATCATCCTTTCATCTCCGCGTTTCTATGTATTTAGACTGACAAAGGGGACATTAATAAAAAAAATGGAAAATTACACAAAGTGCCACTGATTTTTGAACAGCAGATCCCTGTTTCACTGCTTCTTTGATCATAAATAGTCTGGTATTTTTGTAAGTATACCTGTGGTGTGCCTGTGAGTACGTTGCTTTCTTTGTGACATGCAACAAAGTACATAAATGCATCCATTCATTCTGTGCATGTACAGTAGATATGTACTGCCCTGAATCATTGTGTATATGCATGTGCACGTGCATGAGAAAAGCATATGCTTGCTTTATTTGAAGATGAGAGATCTATCAAGTATCCGAGTCCCCTGATTCTGGCTCCGCTCATATTTCAAATGATTAATGATGGCCTAACAAAGCAGGCCTTGGATAAATGCTAATAGGATGGGTCCTTAGAGAGGAGGATATGGAGAGCGGGGCCCGGGCAAATGGAAAAGCGCTGTGCTTGACACACTGTGCATACACAACTATCTGACAGATGTTCAACACCAGAGGACATCCATCACTCCACACTGTCTGGCTTCAAGAATTAATGTGATCACAGTTTAAGTCGATAGCTTTATATGACGCATTTCCGTTTTGGGAACAGGACGCGTGAAAACCGACAAGCTCTAAGAGGGAGTTATTATACGGCTTGCTCTGGTTTATTGCTGTAACAGCCCTACAGGGAATGAGCTGCTAAACAGTGTTGAGCAGGTCAAAAGTTATAGGCTAGGAGGATGAGGAGAGGTTGAGATGAAGGCTGAGGTCTTCATCAGTGGTGGAAGTATTCAGAGCCTTTACTTAAATAAAAATACGCCACACTGCAAAAATAAGTAAAGGATAATCAGGAAAATGTACATTAAGTATTAAAATTAAAAGTACTAAATGCAGAAAAATGGCCCCTTTGACTGTTATATTATTATATATTATATAAGTAGATTAGTATTACTCAGGCATAAATGTGTAAGCAATATTTTACTGCTGTGGCTGGTTTAGATGGTATCTATTTCATACAGGAACTAATGATTATTTTAGTAATGGGCTAATTAATTATTTTTGATTGATTGTTTGGTTTGTAAGAATTCAGAAAATTCCATTGTCCAAACCTAAATTAAATTAAATTAGAATTTTAGATAATTAAAATCATGAAAAATTACTTAAATGATCAAAATAGTTGCACTTTCTATGTTTCCCTCTGAATATCAGCAGAGTAGAATTATAAGGTAGCATTAAATTGAAATACTTAAATACCTTAAATTTTCACTTAAGTACAGTACTTGAGTAAGTCTACTTAGTTACATTTTAACACATTTCCTTGTGCCACCTTCTGAAAAAATTTTATATTCCAATTCTTCCAAGAGTAACCCTGGCATGAAAACAGCAATCAGCAATTAACAAGACCTCTTCTATCTAAGAAGAAACATTTTAGAGGCTGCGATCAGCATTATTTCTGACACACTGAGCAATGAACATCAGGATTAGAGGTGAGTTAGTTGGAAGTAATAACTTTGAAAGCGGACATTTTTAATTATTATTTTTTATGCATTAAAATACTAAACCACTTATCGCTGAATTAAAGTGATTTGGCATATATTTTGTAGTCGTATATTTGATACACTATATTACCACATGAATGAAAATAGAACCCACACTCAGGTCTGTGTGTCTATCTCAAGGGCATCAGTGTAAGTACTTCTGCACTTATGGAGCCACAGTGGGACTATATTTCACAGCATCACCTCAGCTTTGTTACAGCCACAGCAATCATGGCATCCCTGCAGATCCATAACTGCCCCATACTCATCAGCTGTAGCCGGGTCCAGATGTGGATGGCCAGAATGAATCCTCCATATTTTGATGGCCTTCATATCACTGATGATAGATGTGGCTATTACAGCTGGTTGCAGTGCTCTCCGTAGCCTCGTCATGACCACTCTAACCTCCTTGACACCGGGACTGGAACCATCACCAGCTTTCCACTAGCGTGCCCTGGAGTGCCAGGGTTGCCAGCTGCTTGCTTGCTCTGACAAAGACTGCTTTATATGCAACAAAACTGTTATTATAAAACAGGTGAAGTGGAAAGTTTCAAATGTATGACATAAAGTGCTAAAAGTAAACAGTGCTTTTGATGGTTTGAGCTCCTCTGCCTCCTCATGGGATAATAGCACTTTAAAATGTCAGAATACACATTTTTGAGAGGAGCTGGGTCATATAAGAAGTTGAAAAAAGGTCTTAGGGCTCTCTTTATACTCTTTGAAGTGCTTTGTTCTTGTGGTTTAATGCTCAGATCTAATTCAGACAGTGCCAAGTGAGTCACAGGAAAATTGCTCTAAATTGACTTTCAGGTTGCTTTCTGTGATTGTTTCACTGTCTTGCACTCGCAATCTTGCCTCATGTGGCTCCAAAGTAGGCAAAAACATACCATTAAAAGTATTTCTGAACGTTGTTTAACCCAGGTTTGCTTCTCCACTCTGTAAATAATCCTGTGAGAAAATCATTACGGCCGGAAAAAACCCACACTTGGTAAGTCAGAGCTCGAATGGAGCATGTTTCTTGAGCCCCGGGCACTTTTTAACCTTATCCATAAATTCAACCATTCGCTTTTCATTAAGTTAAACCTTTTACACCTTACGCTGTTGAAGCATTATACCCGCAACCCCATCAATAAAGGTCAACCTTGCCGTTCTCAGAGCTTATCCATCATTCACACTATATAACTTTATCTGTCACATGGTATCTGCCGCATCTCTCTGACCTCAAGCTTTTCAAACGATTTTTCATAACACAGCAGGCAGCACAGAAGCATATATAAGTTTGAGGTCATTTACCCATAGGTGTTCCCACTCCGTAGGCTTTGGAATCTATGAGGCCTCCGATCTGCGTGAGGTTACAGTTGCGCTGGGTGACAAACTCGATGGTGGTTGACTCCATGAGGAAGGCATAGTCCGAGGTCAAGACGCGCTCGATGCCCTCCTCCACGTTCTTGACCATTACAGATTGCCTTCTGCTGTTCATGAATTCCCACATCTTGTCATATGTGGAGATTTTTGTTTTCTACAAGATAACAGAGGAAATAAGTGGAATGAGATTGGCAGCTGCATTAGAAATAAATACTATGGTCAACTCTAAATTCTGCTAAATTCTTCTGTTTCAGTGTGTAACTTTTCATTGTGCAGTCTATTTGTGTAAAGGACCAGTGTGTTATTTAGTGACATTTAGCAGTGAAGTTGCAGATTGCGACCAACTGACACAACTACTACATAACTAATAAAAACACATGTATGAATATTGTATTCCATTTCTGCCAATAGAGCCTTCTAATTGTTACACAAGGGACCTTTAATGTCATTATAATACTGTTAACAAACTTATTTGAGAATCCAAACAAAGAAACACCTGTGTACACTGAGATTTTCATGAAAACAAACCTGTTTTAGATACTATTTATGGTCTGCACTGTCTCTGAAGTAGCCATTCCATGTATTTAGATTGTGTAAGTACTGATTCCCCTGTTGAATTCAAATTTCCCTTTGCATTAAGGATTCCTCAGGATGTGATGCATGCATACAATCCTGCAATGTTTTTATCTCATCGATAACAGCCTCACTGTTTACTGTTCACTCTCCTGACACTGTATCAGAGCTGTATTGAGTTACTGCTAATGCAAACTGAACACTTCCTACTAGTTCACATTAAGTGTTCGATTGGTGAAACGTGTGTGTGGCTTTAATAGTGAAGAAGTCACAAGTAAAAGTGACGTATTTGTCACCAAGGTCAGCGCTAACTGTGATCGTTCATCAGAAATGCATCTACAAAACAGGACACGGTCATTTTCTGAATTCTTTGACAGCGGATCGTTTTTAAATATTTCAGTGAGTAATGAAACAAGAAAGAGCAGCCAAGGTGAGCTGTTAAATGAAGTGCTGCTGAGGACACGCTGCATACCTCCAACTCCTCAGCAAGGTAACCAACTCCTTTACTGTGCTCCGCTGTTGGTTAGAAAATCTACTTGCACCGTGCCCAGCATGAAAATCACAGTTGCAATTATTATTGACTTCTTAATTAAAACAATAGTTTGTTTGGCTGCACAGTAAACAAATACACCAGTTGCTCTTGTGTTTATGACAAAGTAGTAGGAATAGTAAGTATTAAAAATACTGTTACCACCAGCAACCATGGGTTTCGCCAATTCAACCAAGGGCTGAAATATGGATTGTATCTTTAATTAGTGAGAAAGGAAGGTTCCTCATAAAACCACCTATAAACAACACCCTGGCAGATCCAGCTACCTTGAAGAAGGTCATGGTGGCGCCATCCTCCACCACCCCGTACAGGATTTTAGTCTGCTTGGCCAGGTCATCGGCAGAGTCTATGGGCGACTCCATCCTTTCCACAGTGAGGAAGGCAGCCAAGTTGGCTGTATATGAGGAAATGATGATGAGGGTGAAGAACCACCAGATGCCTCCCACTATTCGAGTTGACAGGGCCTTGGGCATGAGCTCTGAGCCTGGTGTGAGGGAGGTGGCAGGAATGAAAATGTATTCATCTCAGCAAGTCCTCTTTACGATTCTAATCTTGTATTTAGTTGCAAAGTTTATATTTAACATGTAAAAAACAAGATAAGATTAGTTCCTTTAAAAACAGTCACTCTCTTCAAGATTTCAGCTCAGGCAGATGCGGCACTCGCTTCAAGAAGAAATCACTTGAGAGAGCTCTCAAAACAAGATGATTGGCAGATTTCAAACAAGTGAAATTATCTTGTCTCAGTCATAAGTGAGAGCTTTAAATAATGCAGGAGACTCAGACTATTTAAAAGGTCTTCTAAGAGCAAGTTTTTTTGTATAAATCAATCATATCTAATCAAACACATTCAATATTGATTGTTCAGAACAGTGTTGAGAAGTGACGGGCTGTTTGGGCCAGAGAGTCATGTACCCAAGGTAACCTCACATCCTGACTCGACACCCCACTGATCTCTAGGTGCTGATGGGCCAAGGGCAAGAGGAGAGGACACTGGGTATTATTGTACTCTCATTACTATGATAAAGAGCATATTAAATAGACTGTATATTATTTGAATACAGCTAGGTAGTCAGGCTATTTGAGCTGCTGTTGATAAAAACATCAATATACATTTCTTCAAATTTGAATTTCTAATTCAGATAATTAGATTTCACTCACGTAGTATATAAGGGCTGTTCAAATATACTCCTCTCATGTACTCATAGGTTTGATCTACGTTCCTATGAGTAGGCTAAGTTAATTAAAAAAAAACAATAAAACATTACATGCACATTTACATTAGACAATTTTTTTCTTCCTAGCTGGGGAAACCTTAGAGGCCTCTCTCTGTTGCCGCTGGCTTGGATAAAACAACCCAACCCTCAGAGACAGTGGGATATAGAGAGCTCCAGCTCCACAGGGCAACAGCAGCCACAGGCTGAGGCATCTACCTTGCTGCATGAGAGCCCCAACTCCAAACCAGAAACTATTGAGCAGTGTAAAATTGTTTTCCACTACATCCGAGTCTGGGTTGCATGGATGCGGGTTGTACCACTCATAAGGGCTAAACCTATAAAAGGAGAGAGCACAGAGAAAGAGATGTCAGCACAAAGCAAAGAACAGTGTGTACCCTAACATAGATTAAAAGGCACATAAAACATACATTTTAAAATATTGTGAGCAGGAACAAAGGGAATGTGAATGTGTAGGAATCCTGTGTTGTGGCCTCGGGGTCAGAGCTTGTGCAGAGACCACAGCAAATCATTCTGGCTTTCGCCGAAATCAACTTATTGGCATATTCAAATGCCATCAGTTTATTGTGAGAACAGATCAATAGGCTGGAATAACACTGTCACTGGTGATAATGTCCCAGAGCGTGATGATCTTTGGAGCTCATTTGGATTCACTGACTCAGGAGCCTTTATGTGATTCCCCCGGCAACTGCAATCACAGTTACTCTGCTGATGCCACATCCTCCTCACACCCCCAACATGGGACTGTTTTTTTTTTTTCTTCCTTATTTTTTCTTATGGTTTCCCAACAGCCATTTCTGTTCTTCCACTCAGAACCCCCTTTTCTTTTCTCACACTCCCTTCACACCTTCATCTCTTTTCCCCATTCCCACTCCAACAAGCTACACCTCATTTTTCCCCCTGATTGCCTTACTTCCCCTATGAACCTCCGCCTTTCACCTCCTGCTGCCTCCCTTGGCTGATTGTCAGTGTCTTCAGGTCAGTTGTGGACATTTCTCATTTATTATCCTAAGCAAAAGTGGCATGGTATTAGCGCAGGGTGATTGGGTTAGCGTTAAGCATCAGGATCTGATTGAGTTTGTGCTGAAGTGGGTGATAGAAAGAACATTGCTTATGCAGAGTTGAGGGGCCCATCAGGTAAGGTGGTTTAGGTGCTTTCCCCCAACATGCTGCATGCTAATAAGCCTGCAGGCTGAGTCTTAAAGGTTTAGACTGCGTAGAAATGGGATGCATTTGTCAGCTATGCTCAGAGGCGCTCAAGGATGTATATATACATATATATATTATATATACACCGTGTTTACAAGACACAGAGCAGCATTTCACATTACCACACCAAATGTTATATGACGGCTGTTTTATGGCAGCGCTATTTGCCACAGATACTACATGACTGTTGAAGATCCTACGCACAGATATGTCATTTGATCTTTCTTTGTTGTTGTAGCAGCCCAATTAACAGTCTTATTTTACAAGCATCGTGAATGTGGCAACATTTTTGTCATATGCCGTCCCTCTTGAGATTCATCAACATGGACGTGGTTGTGATGACACATTATAATTCTCCCTGTCAGCCACATCAGGATGCCTGATTTGCTGGAATGTCAATGAGCTTAGTCTCCTTGAAACCACAGGCAACTGAAACTGCACAATAGTCTTGTGGAGCTGTGCGGAATGCAGTGTGTGTGCTCGCATGCATTTGTATATGTGCGTGGTTTTTATGATGTGTGTATCAAGCCTCTGGCGCATGAATGTTTGCGGATATGTCTCTATAGCTGTGTGGGTGTGCATTTGCAGATGATAGCAACTGTGCATTTTCACTGGCTCAATCAAATCCATCTCAAAGTCAAATATTTTCTGCGAGGATTTATTTATGTTGCTGCTAGATGTTAACTATAATCTTGAGCTGCAGCCTGAGGCCAATTATGGGTGATATCCAATATGTTCTGTAGGGCAGATAGTGTAAATCTGTGTAAATCTATACAGACAAACACTGATTGGATTGTGTTTGTCCCCCTCGGTGCACTACATGTGTCTTCTGTATGCACCAGGCCCGATAGCTCCTCTGTATGACCTTTGCCTGCAGTCGGCCCGTATTCCTGCGGGCCGTGTTCTGCACACCGATCACCAGGAAGGAGGCAATGTGGAACATGCGGACGTAAGGTCACCTCCTCACACCGAGCATGAGGGACATGTCGAATTGCACACAGAATTCTAAAAAGATTTTCCCCTCTCCCTCTCTCTCTCTCTCTCTCTCTCTCTCCTGTTTTCCTCTTCTCCTTTGCGCGTCCCCAGCCACAATAACACAACACGCTCCCTCCATTAACTGTCTGTTGGATTCAATTACTCTGGCTGGCATTATAGATCTGCTGCCTTTCTTCTCTCAGGCCAAGTGAAGAGGCTGTGTTGGGGGTGTTAAAAACATAGGCGTCCGGGACTTGGACCGCAAAACTGCACAGGCCTGTAATTACATGTAAACATGTTATAATGCAATTTAAATAATCCATTCTTCTTGGCAGGAGGACATTTTCTACATCGGAAAAGGCTTTGTGATCTGAGAGAATACCATTTGTTCTGTTAATAAAGAAAGGAATCAATTCAACCACAAACACAGCTAGAAGGAACCACTGCAAGTGAAATGTATTTCTCTGGAGCTTGAAATGAGATAGCTTATTTAGTCAGGAAAAAAAGTGTTTATGTGTGTGGGAAGCAGTTCAAAGACGTGAATCCCTGGTGAGATTGAGGTGTTTAGTGTTTTATTGTGCAAAACGAGGACTTCATAAGCCCCCTCCACTCACTCTATTTGCAGGGGATTAAAGAAAATAATATACCCTGCATTTGGGGAATTGACCGATCAATCAGTGGCCGTGCAATCAATACTACAATTATGAGAGAACCAGCTCAGCGAAGTGTAGAAAACATTGTACTTCAGATTTAAACTTTGCTGAATATTTTTGGTCACATAGTGTGATGACAAGCACTATTTATTGCCAAGGTGTGCAAAAAGGCACAATGCATGCACACAGACAAGAACATTATAATTTAATAAAAGTATTGAGGCCATTTCATTATAAAGCAGAAGAATATCAATATAATTGCATGCTAATCACTTACCCTGACCAAGCGTGGAAACAAAAGGGCTATGGGTATAATTTGCATATTCTGAACTAACTTAGGTGACAGTTGCTGCTTTCCTCTCATGTGATCATTCTGCCGGTAACATTTGATGAAACGTGCATTAAACCCAAACCTCTCAGGATGAAAGCGGAAGAAGAGGAGCCCTGGGGTTAATACACATCTTTCTACATCGGTCATGCACTGGGGAGTTTTAGGGGGGTGGGTTCATAAAGATATGTGTAAGAATTGTACTTGTACAATGTCAGCATTGTACTTGTACATTTCTTACAGCTGATTAAGAGATATAAAACGGGTAGCTGGTTTTTCAATTGCTGATGCTTGTGCAAATATGCCTGAAAGAGTGTAACGAATCAGCATTTTAAAAAGACCATACTAGTGTTTTTCCTGCTTTTGGCTCATTTACTTTTAGGTAGTAAACATTTAATTATTTTCATTACAATCAATGAATGACAATGAAGCTAAAACAACAATCTTTTTCTTTTCTGGGTGCTTCAAGATGTAATGGGAGGCCCTGAAATGTCTACAATTCATTTGTTGTTTTGGCAGCCAACAGTTGACCACATCACACAAAAACAGTATACACTTGTATTTTAGGGGAATGGCAATCCAACACTGATAACTGATTGCAGTATGCTTTGTAAAATGATCAACAGTAGGGTAAAATATAAGCAAACGTGTAAAAACACTGGTATGGTCTTTTAAAGTAACATTTTTAGATTGGATATTCTTTTATTGTACACCATATCTACATCACTGAAGTCATCTAAAAACATGGACTGCCTCTTGCAGGAGTGCTTTTTCTGCCTGTCGCAGCTTGATAATTTTCAGTGAATGAATTCCCCTATTCAGGTCCAGAGGGAGCAACTGCTGTGTGTTAGTGAAAGCAGGCAAATAGGCAGGAAAGAAGGAAGGAAGGAGAAAGGGAAGAAGGAAGACAGGAAGGAAGGGAACGGAAGGGTTGACATGTTACCTGGCTATGACAAACAGCACACAACTGACACCCAAGCAAGCCAGCAGAATATACATCCAGATATCGGGCGAGAGGGGGTTAAGGAAGGAGAAGACCCCGGGGTTGGTGCCATTGGGCTTGCGGTACAGGATACTTATCCCCAGCGTCATATAGGGCTTTGAGAAGTCGATGACCTTCTCTCTGACATAGGTGATGGCCAGAGGAGCCACCGCCAGGTCTGCTTTCTGCAATGAGATAATGAAGGTAGAGTGGAGTGAGATTGGTGGTTAGGTGTTTGAGTCCACCAATAAGAGACAACCAATCGAATTAACATCTGATTTCTGTCGACAGTAGGTCTGGTCAATATGTACAAGAGGAAGAGCCATAACAGAGGAGAGAAAATAGCTGGGGTCATTTGTTCAGCTAGATTAGCAGGTAGGAGGCTGAGTTTTTCTGAAAATTACAGGTTATATTTTGGATCCTTCTTATGTGGTGTCAGAGGCGAGTCACTAAAACAACAATTTTGGGATTAGATCAATCTGTAACAAATAAACCCTGCGTCCCCTCTGAACGTAAGATTAGCCACCTTTGGTGCTAAGCCCTTGAGTTATTTTTTTATAACCCCGCCCCCAAGAAATAAATTGTGCCAGTTTTACAGTGAATTTTTTGTTCATAACCATCAATAGCGGTAGAATGTAAAACATATAATTTACTGTTCTAAATCTCAAATCATTACAGTCTATATTTGAGTCTTAAAATCCTTATTATCATAAAGGGAGCCTAGCTTTGCTAAACAGCATCCAATGTGCCCACAAGTGACAATTAAGGAATAATGTTGAATGCTAAAACTCAATAAGAGTAGCACAAGAAGAGAAGGGTAACAGTCAGCAACTTGAATCAGTAATGTCAATTAAACAGCAATATCTACCTAAAGTCAGAAAACATTAACCACTATAATGGTCATACTGGACCAAGACTGTAGAATCCCTAGAGTATTTTTCATTTATTTTTCACTATCACTTTTTTACAAAAAAATTCCCACGAGTGTTAAAAGATATGTAAACTGTATTGATGTTTAGTTCTTAGTATTTTGAATCAACTAGTAATGAGAAGTAGCATAATAAAAAATTAATTGAAGGAAGTAATCACTCATACCCATGATTGGGGCATTTCATTGCTGGTTATTAAAAGTAAATAGACTGACATTTTGTTTTTAAAGATTTAAAGTAATTTCTGAATTTTTCATTTTCTGCATCTTACAATGTGCAACCCTGCTGATGGTTAACTCACATGGTCCATGAGCTCCCGCACCATCCCGTTCCACTGGCCTGTGCTCTCATCCAGTGCGCCATACTTCCCATCCTCCACTAATCGCAGCTCATAGCGAAAGCCCAGGATGCCAGAAAGCTCCCTCAGCAGGTCGATGCAGTAGCCCTCGAAACGATCATTCCCATACAGAGGTTTGTCCGATTTCTTAAACATCACATATGGCTCCTCCTGTATAGGGAAAATGCATTTGTGTGGAAACATGTCTGCAAGTTTTGTATTATACAGTGAGCTCTTTTTTTCTGTGTGTATTTGTTGACTGTGCATGTGTTTTCATTTGGCTGTGTCTACCAGTATGGTGGAAACACGTAGGGATTTGTTAGCCAGAGAGTCTGTGATGTTGGATGTCTTGCTTTTGTGAGTCTCTGTCATATTCAGACCGCTGGGAGGATCCCATGTTCCAATCTGTGGAAGCAATTCAGTGTCAAGTTTATATCACCTTGGCTTGTCTACAGATAGGAAAAATAATGCTTTAAAGCATCCAGACATACTTCTTCAAGATTCAGAAGCCACAAAACCACAGCTACACTGTTTAACACACCTTTTCCAGCCCCTCCTCCTTCAGACTGATGACGTCCAGGTCGAAATCGGTCCTCAGTCCATTGGTCTTATTGAAGAGAACACGTCCTGTCAATCCATCCCAGTGAGCCTACAGACAGAAGCCAGAGGCATAATAAACTAAAAATCCCCAGTTTAGCACAGTCATTCCATTAACCTTAAGGTATCGTCTTTCTCAACAATATCAGTCCAACCGCTAACCATAAAACCTTTTCTGTCCCAATTATGAATTCTGTATGTCTCTCCCCTCACTGTCTATCTCAACAACATAACAAGAAACAATAAAGCAGCGAGAATAGAAGCAGGTTTGACAGGTAGGAGTTCATTATGCATGTGGTTCATTGTGCTTGAAGTTTCACTTCAAAGCCATTGGAGGAACAGACGGGCATGGAGAGCGATAGCAGACACAGGAGGGGGAGGAAGCGCCAGCGACTACAATGGCTCATTCTGAAAATTACCTGCAATGATACCATCCACAGAATGAAAGTGCTTTGTAGAACAAAGCAAATGGCTGACCCTGACTAGAGTTAAGGAGACACACAGAGGCTTTGATATAAACACGGGTGAAGATATGCACGGAGGATATAGTGGGAGAAAGGGAATGAAACATTACAAAATAACATGTAGTTACTGTGGATAATGCAGTGGTTATTTAGATTACAGTATCATGAAGATTACTGAGAGTGTTAAGATTAAGCAATAGAGTTGTTTAGGATGTTTATGTGGGTTTTATCATGATGATCACAATAGAAAGACAATGATGCAAAATATGCAAGTAAGTTAAGGAAGTACAAAGGAAATGCTTACAAACGTGTGATTGCACTGATCAATACCGTATAACATGCCCAAACTACAGTGTTCAGCAGATCAATAGGTCAGAAGTCAAGACAGGGTGCACACTGATAGCACTTTTGGCCTTGTACCTCTTTGATGAGGCTGATGAAACGCCCCCCGAAGCGCCACGGCTTGTGGCGATTACACTGCAGAGAGCTGACGGTGATCTGCTGCGATTGCTGCACCGCCACCGCCACCACGTGCACGGCGTCGTACATCAGCGCTGCATCCGTCTGCAAGCAGGAAGGTAATATCATTAGACATTTTTATAACACCTGCCAATACATCTGTCCACATGACCTTTTAATTGGCCCATTTGTTCACCCACTGAGGAACATAAGAAACTGTGTGAAGTCCCGGGTGACTTGCTTTACTCTTTAGTCAGGACAAGAGAACATAAATTAGGAGTAATGCCAGCAGTAAATGCCCTGCACAAATGGCACAGTGTCTCAGCCTGTTAGTAAAAATACCCGACCACTGTCTGAGGCAATGAGAAAGCTCCGCCAGGGAGAGTCTCTCAGTGGAAGGCCAGCCTGTCACTGTGAAGACTAATGGTTCCTGATGGGTGTGCCTGTTCTCTAGAAAGAGGGAACACAAAACAGGCTGCTGCAGATGGGACAACTCTGACTGCGTGCAACATGCTAAGGGATACATACTGCATTGCAAAGCACACATGACAGCCATCCATACAACCCCAGTAATAAGTCATCAAAGGGAGTAAATGCTTGAGCTGAAATGTCTCACTCTGACATGCTGAGATTTATCTTAACTGCGCTGCCTGGCACACGTTAATTCCTTTCATGCTGTCTGTCCCCACAGTGTCAGACGCTCCACTTTTACCCAGGTCAACACATCACAGCTCAGCTCAGATCCTCTTTCCATGGTCCCATATAGGATGAAATACACTGTGGTGATCTTATTTGACAAGTCCTGGGTGACCGACCTGCACAGGAGTATGAAAAATGACTTTGAGACCACAAAGTATCTGCAGCTATAGGGTCTTTGTGGATGTGCTGGGCTGTTGGGGAGAATGAGCGGGGGCTTCAGTGTAGCTAGGCGCACAGCAGGAGACCACTGAGCTGCTCTTTAGCTTCTATCAGCTCCCTATGTTGTCTCTATAGGTGCAGTGGAGCATTTATGTAATCCATGTGGGAGTAAAAGCGGGAAGAGTCTGGGAGGGGGAAAAAAATAATGCTACATGTACAATTTCTCCAACTCATATTTATGGTGGCAGGTCAATTACAGAAAAAAATCTAACTTCCAACAGCAAGAAAAGAGAAAATTCAAGATAGAGAGGAGGGTAGGGAGTTTATGTGTGGTTGCCGGTGGTGGGCAGATTGTCAGTTTTTTAGCTTGTCGCCCAGTTCTCCTGAGCTTTTGGAGTTGGTGATGTCAAAGGCAGCAGCAGATCAGAGGATGGGAAACCCATCTCTGCACTCTTTCATCCCCACTGCTTCGCTGAGAAAGGGAACAGCTAGTGCCATATCTGCTCTCCCAGTGAAAGCAGTGTGTGTGTGTGTGTGTGTGTGTGTGTGTGTGTGCGTGCGCGCGAGTGTTGTGGTGTTCATGGCAAATGCTGATTAGGAAAAGACTCTGCTAATCTATTACTTGAAAAGTTGGGAGGAGTTCTACACACAGTCAATACCAAAAAACTGTTTTCTCCACTGAAAGGAAAGTTCATCATATCCTATCATCCAATTATTGTGCTACTGTAACTACACCCAGTTGGATTTGATCCAGCTTTATTCTATTTGTTTTGCAGATGTTTTTTTCAAAAGTTGCAATAATCACATTCAGTTTTATTCCACTTCAAATGTACATGATACCATTTTGGATTCATTTATTCAACAAATTCACTTTGACATGATGGAATTCATGCAATTCAAATAAACTATGTGCTGCTTTACTAATCTTTTTTTCACTTAAGTTTTGCTTTTGACCTTTTAACTTTCCTCCACCAACTTTGACTTTTTCCTTCCATAATCAATCAATATCACATCCCTTTTCTTCCATCCAGAAATCCTTTATTCATTTAGGTCAAACTGTGGCATGTACGGCATCTCCAAAAAATCATTATACATATAAATGGTTTCTGTGAAAGCACTTCTCGGAAAAATATCTAACAACTTGTTCACTAAAAACAGATACAGTATTAAAGTTCTACTTTTCATACTGAATTATGCCTGGGTCTAAAATCCAGCTGGCACAGCCTAAACCCTCATGAAGATAAGTGGTAACAATTTTAGCACACCCTTAATGTGTGACTGAAGGCTGATAATTTGAGAATTTTATAAATGACAGAGACTACTTTATGATGAATCCCATGTTCGCAGTATCCTGTTTAAAACACTTATAACACGCTACAATGACGATTTCATAGAGTGATACAGTGACAATATATACATGCCTCATCAGCAGCAGTGCAAAGAGTTTTTATCTGGGCAACAATATAGACGAGAACTTATTTATAGTAACGTAAAGATCGATTTGGCTACAAGATATCTCAGTTTATTTGAGAACAGGAGTTTATTAGATGTTTTATAGTATAAATACAGTTGTTGCTGTGTTTGCACTCTGAGGACAAACTACTTCACTGAATCCCCCATCAGCCTCTTTGTTTGAATGATTTATGTCACTCTGTTAGCTTCTCCTCTGACATAACAACCATTCCTGGAAATATTTCCATCTCCATCTTTTAAATTTTGGATTGCCGTGATATATCAAATATTGCCTGGCTCAAATGATTTATATGGCAAAGATCTTTTTCATACTTGCCTTTGGAGCAGAACAATTCCTGAAAATCCCTTTGTGATGGAAACAAAAAGAGGCTGGCATCAAGTGGAAGACAGAAAGATCAAGGAGGTAAAAAAACGTGACATGATGGCTCACAGCTCTGGCAGATTGCATTCAATTTAAAAACAATCCAAGAGCGATCTTGATATTTATTTCAGAGCCAAGCATGAATCCCTCTGGTTGTTTTAAGTGCTTTAAGTGAAACCAATCTCGAACCCCTGGGGCATTCAGACAGAGAGGGTAAAGGGTTTCAAACAAAATGCCCAAAACCTACGTTGCCTCGTCTCTCTCTCATTCAAACACCCACATAACCATCTAAAATCACACAATCCCCTTTCTGCTTCAATAAAAATACCAGTCCAGATACTCTTTTCCTTTATTTAGTGACTCACGTTTCACTTCACCTTATATCTTTTCTTCCCAGCGCTGTCTCCACTCTTGAAAACATGATACGTGAGGAACATGCAAATATTAACACACAGACAGGAACCAATTAGCAAGACGTGCGTACACCAAACACATAAAAACAGGAACGCAATCAGACATAGTGACAAACCTCAACTTGCAAGCTTCCCAGAGGCATGCCTCATTTGTCGTAGTTGCATGCGGTTTCCTCATTTAGAAAAGGTGAACAAATTCTACTGAGCTACCTGCTGTGTGTATGTCTATGTGTGTGTGTTTACACAAATATATTCCTTTTCACTGCATCAGTATTCACACCGGCTCTCCACTTGTGCATAATTCCATAATTCCTCTGATAATGTTGCACCCTGAAAAACGACGTCTCTCTTTCTCTGCTCACCTCTTCTCAATCACTCATCTTCTTCCCAGAATTCCTCTAAAAGCAACAACACACACACACGCACACACTACTCGTCTGGGGATGGACGTGTACTGCGGCTGCTTGTGTATAGTGGAACTCCACTGTTTATACATATCATATACATCTGATTAGCCCTAATGAGATTAGTGCTGACCTGTTATTCACCATGCATCGCTGGGCTGCAGCTGCCAGGCACAGAGCTACAACACAAACACACACACACACACACACACAAACACACACACACAGCATTGCCATCAGCATCAGAGTCACAGTGTCAGCGGGAGAGAGAGAAGCTCATTGTTTTTCTTGAAGCTGAAGTCACTCTGCCCTCAGATCACAGACAGACCCATGGGGTTTGATGATTTGATAGAAGGAGGTAATTATTCATTTCATTCCATAGTTTATATGTATTTGTGCTGCTTCACTGCACAGCTGGTGTGAGATTATTTGAGTCACAATTTCTGCTGTCAGATAAATTACAGCATTTCTAAACTTTGTGATTTCTAGCAATTAAATCCTCAATAGAGTTTTCTGTAAACAATACACCATGGTTTAGAATTTCTACTTTAATCAAGATACCCAATCTCACTCGTTCTGAATGAGCTACTGTTTTATGTATTTGTCTTATCTGGTAGGATGAAATTCACATGTGGAGTATGGACGCTGATGGGAAATGTCTGTACATACTGTAATAGAGCAGCTAGTTGGTGAGTTAACCGCACATACAAAAAGACCCTGGGTGGTAAAACTGAGTCAGTGTCTTGAGAATACATTTCACTTGTAGTACAAAAATGAAAAGACAACAGTTGAAAAACACAGAAATGTGACATGTGATTTATGGGGCATATTATGGCTGTTTCAGGCCTCCTTTCAGACAAGGCAGAGCAGGCAGTGTCAGATCATTTTGGTGGGGGAAAAAAGGCCCCCCGGGTGACTGCAGCTCAGTGAACTGCCATCTTTCTCCTTGTCCCTAACTTTTCCACTCTGTCTCTCTTCATCCCTTCTTTCTGACCGCCTATGTTCTGCCCGAGTCCCTCCACAGTGCCTCCTCCCTTCACTTCTATCTCTTCCACCCTTTCATCCCTTTTGTCTTTCTTCCAATGTCTTCCCTCTTCCTTCCCTGGTTGCTCTCTACAGTATTTAACTGAGCTGCGCGTGAGTGTGGGTATATGGGGGGCTTTGCCAGTGCCGTCACTGTCATTTTCCCTCTTTTTCTTTTGTGCGTTGGAGGTTTAATCCCTTTCTCACATTGCATTTCCACATGCTGAGGCAACAGAGCAGAGTCGCTGCATTTTTTTAAAATGAGGTTTTTGTCACAGGGAAGTAGAACTGGCTTCTTCCGACAAGGACCCCTGGGTAACAGATCCATTGATGCTGCTGGATTTATGTGAAAGCACATTCATGTTTTTTTTTTGTAGATTTAAGTACACTTTAAAGGGGGATAAAGGACTACACTGCAGAGTTTTTTGGTTTAAAAGAAAGGGTCCTGTGGTAGTGGTGAGAGAATGAGCAGAACTGTTTGATGTACATCTGTATACATTCATTCCATATTGATATAGTGTTATTAAAGTACCTATATTTTATCAATACTTTCAAGAATAACTCATGGGTAAT